TTGAATTTGAGCGTTTGATTCCCTCGGCTCTACTCTGGCGGGAGGAGGGTAGACTTGGGGAGAAGAGACACATACAACTTCATCTGGGCTGCCGGGGGGCGTCGGGAGCCCATGCGGCTCTTCCTGAGGCCTCCTCGGGCACTTGGTGCAAATCAAAAATCCCACTCCCCAGAAGGCCACCGCCCCAACCTCTTAATTATGGGGATGTTCATTAATGTACGAGACCTCTTCCATGGCAGGACGCGTTAGCCTCTCTCACAAAAGCTGGGTTCGGCGCTGGGGCGGGCTCCCTGAGCTCCGAAGGGAAGCCTTAGTGGAGGGGCAATTTTCGACTGAGTGGATAAATAAATACGTTTTAGAACAGCTTAAAAATTCTTGGATGCTGCTGTGGCATCGCGACGGCAAAATGGAGAGAGGCTGACCCCCCCCACCCCCCCCCAAGCTGCCCGGCGCTCCTCTCCCCCCTTTCACGTGCTCCCTCCGCTCCAAAGTTTCCCTTCGCAGCATCCTCCACCGCCGTCTCCTTCTCTCCCTCCTCCTTCCCTCCGCCGGAGAGCCGGGGGCGGCTCGCCCACCCTCCCCACGGGGTTGCGCGACTCCCTCGCCGTGGGGCCTCCAACTTTTAAGGGCGCCCCCCACACACGCACCCCTCCAGCAGCCGGGGGGCGTCCCCGTTACCCGCTCCCGCACCGCCCGCGCTGCCGGGAATTATCGCTGTTACAGTTGTTATTATTATTGGGTTATTTTCCCGCGCGGGGGCGGTGCCGCGGCGGGGGCGCGGCCGGTCCCGCGGGTTGCGCGGCGCGGTGCGGGGGGCGCGGGGCGGCGCGGCGGGGCCGGGGCTGCCGGTAAGTTGGCGGCGCGGTGGCGGCGGCCCCGGGGGAGCGGGCGCCGCGCGCGCTCCCATTGGCCGCCCCGCCGTCAGCTGCTCCTATTTTCTGCTGTCGCTTTTGGCGCTCGGCCATCCAGAAACAAACCACTTCGATGACTCCTAATAGTTATCGCCAGATGTACTAATACACAACAAATCACGGTCCGGGAAAGGGGGAGAGCAAATGAGTTCCTATTTTGTGAATCCCACTTTCCCGGGGAGCCTGCCCGGGGGCCAGGACTCCTTCCTCGGGCAGATCCCCCTGTACCCGGCGGGCTATGATGCTCTCAGGCATTTTCCGGCTTCTTACGGGGCAAGCAGCCTGCAGGACAAGACTTACACCTCACCTTGTTTCTACCAACAGTCCAACACCGTCATTACTTGCAGTCGGGCTTCCTATGAGTACGGAGCCTCTTGTTTTTATTCGGACAAGGACATTAGTAGCGCCTCTCCTTCCGGCAGTGGCAAACAGAGGGGGCCTGGGGACTACCTGCACTTTTCTCCCGATCAACAGTACAAAACCAGCGGCGGCCAAGCCAAAATTATAAATGACGAAGGCACCGACCGGAAGTACACGAGCCCTGTTTACCCCTGGATGCAGCGGATGAACTCCTGCGCTGGTAAGGCATCTCGGTGCAGTCAAGGGCGGAGAGGGGAGGAAAAGGAAAAGTTTCTTTTTTTTTTTTTTTTTTTTTTTCTTTTTTCTTTTTTTTTCTTTTTTTTTTTGCTGTTAGATAAAGTTCAGATTGCTGGAGAAACACGGTTCCTGCAGGGCAATATGTAACATGAAACCTTCCCAGGTTTAGACCTGGCACGTTGGCACCCAGGGAATGGTGGCCAAGATCCCAGTATGTAGGTTTACTGGTGAAAGTTACAGGAGAATCCTTGGAAAGTAGTGGGGGGAAAAATAAATAAAAAGGAACAAAGCACTTTTATCACTCTCTTAGAGCCACCCCAAAGCCTCTGCTCTGCTTCTTCATTGTCAGAGAGCGATGCATGGAATATGCCCTCTGTACTGAGGATCCAAAGCATTTGTGGTACATTCCTCCTCGCCCCCCTCCCCCAGCTCATTAGCCCGTGAGTATTGGATATTGAGAGCACGTTTCTGGGGCCGTGGGCGCACTTCCATGGCATCGTGAATTTTTCAGACTTAGTAGCGAACTTCACATAATTGAACTATTCTGTACAGGAGTGATGCTGGGGGAATGGGGGGTGGGGGTGGAGTGGGAGGGTTGTATTGGGGTGACATTTATTTTTGATAATCCCAAATTTAAACGTTTGCTTCAAGTGTTTGCAAATGATTCGCCTTCTCTCCCATCCTCCCAAGTTTATAATTGCTGCAGAGTAGGTCTCACTCCTTCTTTTTGAAAAATTAAACTTTTAGCAAGACCATTCAAATGCTGCTTTGCATTCAAGCGCAATAAATTCCGGAGCAAATGGCAAAACGCTCTTATATGATCTTTAGCTGATGTCTATAATTATACTTAGAGACCTTCTGTAGTCTCAGCCATGGCAATGGCTGTGTGTTTGTGTCAACACAGCCACATGTGCGTGCACACACACACGCACAGACACATGCGTGAGGCTTCCCGGACAGCACACGTGTGCCTGTGCCTGTGTGTGCGCCCAGGCTCCCAGCAGCACAGAGCAGCCTCTGCTCAGCTCTGCTCGCACCGTGCTAACTCCTGCACCTTCCCTAGGTCCACCTTAATTTCTCTTTGTATCCCACTTACCCCGCCACCGTAAGCACACTGCACATCCGCATTTACAGCTCGTCAGGCAGGAGAAAAGGAAAAGAGAGAATTTAAAAAAAAAAAAAAAAAAAGCCTCCAGGAAACCAGAGCAACTTCCCCACTCCCCGCGATTGTGCCTGCAAAAGGAGGCAGAATATACTAATCGCTCTTTCTGGTCTGAAATCACTGGGCCCTGTCCAATGCAATCGTTTTGTCTTTACTTCTACAGGTACAGTATATGGAACACATGGGAGACGAGGGAGGCAAACTTACACCAGATACCAAACGCTAGAGTTAGAGAAGGAATTTCATTTTAACAGATACTTAACCCGAAGACGACGTATTGAGATTGCAAACGCTCTCTGCCTTACTGAACGCCAGATTAAAATATGGTTTCAAAACAGGCGGATGAAATGGAAAAAGGAAAACAAATTCATAAATTCCACACAGCCCAGCAGCGAAGAAACAGAGGAAAAGTCAGGGGAGTAGAACCACGTTTAATAAACGCTACCAGGCCTTTCCTTAGCGCTTACTACTACTACTACTACTATTATTATTATTATTATTTACCTTGTGTTCCTTCTGCTACTGAAATCCTATAGGTTTGTCACAGTCTATTAATCCCCAAAAGGCTTGGTTAAAAGATGTACATTCGCAATCATCTGTGACTTGCTCTAATATATGTGGAAGCCCCAGCTTTCGAGCTACAGGCATGTATGTATGTAACCACCTTCCCAAAGCATATATGGTGTTGGTTAAAGTATTAGAGAATTGGCCCAGAATTTTAAATATTTGAGATGAGCATCTGTGTGTGGGTGAGTGTCCCTGGTGTGCTTGTGTGAGAAAAGATAAGCAATTTTTTTTTAAATTAGAAGTGCTCATATTGTAGAAAGACAAGAAATTTTAGAAAATATTTGGTTGATGTTTTTGCTAGCTCCCGCTATGGCGGGCCATCTCGTTATGCTGTGTTTGGGAGTTTATGATCTGCAGGGGGGAAAAATAACTTTTAGTTGTGTTTAAGATATTTAAATAACAAAAGAAAGAAAAATTCTTTTTAAAAACGTTGTATAAATCGCTGTGTATAAACTTTCAGTTAAAGCGAAGATGAATTGCAGGGAGATTTTTTTTTTAAATGCCGCTAAACTGCTTAGTCTGCACTACTAGAATTAAAGTAAAAACTCGGCGTTAAACTTCAGGGGAAGCGAGGGAAGGGGTTTCGAAGCGGGCAATTTTCTGTGGTTCCCGTTGAGCTTACGCTAAGGTTTTGGTAAGCTCAGCTCTGCACTGAAGGGGCTTTGAATTATGGGCTACATTTCTTGGGGCTTCGTGAGCTTAGATCGATCTTTTTTCCTTTTAACTCTCTTTCTTTCCCTATTTCATTCTTCCTTCCTTCCTTCCTCTCTTTCTTTCTTTCTTATTTGAAGAAAAGGTCTTATTAACTCGGGGATTTTCTTTCCTGCTTCTGCGGTATCTTAATTCACATTCGCTTTACTTAGCACTGGAAAAAATAAATGGATACTTTGAAGAAAAATAGCTGGCATAAAATGCTTCCGCTTCCAGATTTGTATAAGTAAAATAAGAGCAGCAAAAATATTGATTAATATATATGTTATATCTCCCTATATTATATTGCGTGTGCATGAGTGTGCATGTGAAGCTGTGTACAAATGCACTTGTATACGCATCGAGGCTCTTTTGTTTGGAAGGCAGCACAATTTGGGCTACCACTCTAAATGTTTTAAAAGCCAAATCTGGAGAACGTAATGCAAAATGGCCACCGCCGCATTTAGAGGATTTTTTCCCTTCCGAGAGGCGATGAAATAGCGGCAGCCGTAAAGTCGCCTGGAATTTGACCCCCTAGTTGGGAAAACGCTGCACGATATTTATCTTTAATAGATATCTGCCATTTCACACCGGCAGGACCCGACTGCCTTTCGAAATCTCCGGCACGGGAATAAGTGTGGGGGAAATTACATATACATATATAATACGTAGAATGGACATAAGCCTTGCCAGCACCCGAGAACGGATCGTATAGGATTTGCGAACTGGTGTAAATAAGCCTGGCACGGAGGAGAAGGCAGGCACAAAGCGGAGCCCTCTCTGCACACCCCGCTCCCCGGCGGCCGGCTCGGACGAGCAATGCCCGTCGGCCCCGCAGCCTCGCGGCCGGTTCCCTGTGCCGGTGGCGGAGAGCCCCGCTCCGCTCCGCGCCGCTCCGCGCCGCCGTCGGGGGCCGTCACCCCGGGCCGACCCCGCGGAGCCGCCGCCATCCCCCGCGCCGCCAGCGGGTGGCGCTGGAGGCCGGCGGACGGGCGGGAGGCGGCGGCGGCGGCGCGCACGGGAGGCGCGCCCCGGGCCGCCCGCGCCCTCCCAGCTCCCCCACCAGTGCACGAGTTTACCTCTAGAGGTCATCAGGCAGGATTTACGACTGGACAACAAAAGCACGTGATGTGAAGCCGTACCCCATATTTGGGTGCCTACGTAGGAGGGAACCAAGTACATGTCCCAGTCATTTCCATAATTCATCATAAATTGTGCAAGGGTGCTATAGACGCACAAAACGACCAAGAGCCACAAATCAAGCACACATATCAAAAAACAAATGAGCTCTTATTTTGTAAACTCATTTTGCGGTCGCTATCCAAATGGCCCGGACTACCAGTTACATAATTATGGAGATCACAGCTCGGTGAGCGAGCAATACAGGGACTCCGCCAGCATGCACTCCGGCAGGTACGGATACGGCTACAATGGCATGGACCTCAGCGTCGGGCGCTCTGCTTCCACTCACTTTGGTGCCAATGAGAGACCCCGCAGTTACCCGGCCAACACCACCTCTGCCTCGACAGAGCCCAGGTACAACCAGCCCGCGACGTCTTCCCACTCGCCTCCCCCTGACCCTCTGCCCTGCACCGCCGTGGCCGGTTCGCCTGTCAGCGAGAGTCACCACGGGGTGAAAAACTCCCTCGCCAACTCCACCAGCACTTCGTCCAATTCCAGCAGCAACACGCACATCAGCAGAGACGGGGTTGGCACCTCGTCTGGGACTGAGGAAGACACTCCAGCAAGCAGCGAGCAGGCAAGTGCCCCGACTGACCAAAGCACAGCCCAGCCTTCACAGCCCCAGATCTACCCCTGGATGCGAAAACTGCACATAAGTCATGGTAAAGCAAATACCCTGTTCTTTCTTTATTTCTCTGGAGGAAAAGGAGGATTTAATGTAAACCGGGTGGCTGCGCCGAGCAAGGTCGGGGAAAGGGGGAGAGGAGGGCGTGAGAGCGGGCAGTCTCCGCGCACACCACAACTCTGCTCGCAGGGAAGCACGCTCCCTTCTCTGGGCGAGTCCCCCCCGAAAGGAAAAAAAACCACTCGGCCCCGAAAACACCGCCCGCCTGGCTCCCAGCGCCGGCGGGGGGAGTAGAAGGAGCCTTGCCGAAGGGAGATCGGGAGCAGAGCCTGCTCCCGGCTCTCCTCTAGATGGGGGATCTTCCAGTGGGAACGGCGCGGCTGACCCCATTTATTTTGCTTAGACGTATTAAAAAGAGAATAGGAAAGGGCGAGAAGGGCAGTTTTCACTGCTGGGAAGCCGTGGGGGAGGGGGGAGGGCGAGTCGCCCCAAACTCGGGGTAGAGGGCTTGAGGGGAGCGGGAGAGCGAAGCAACTTTCAGCCCCGGGTACCTGCCCTGCCCTCGCTGCTGGGAGAGCGGCCGGAGGCTCCCTGCCTCCCAGAGCCTTCCCCAGCTCTGCCGTGGGAAAGGGCTGCACGCCTCAGCCTCGTTCTCTCAGCTCTGAAAAACCAGCTATCAGCAGATACATCCTCCAAACCAGCTTATCTGAGGGAGGCATGGGGGAGAATTAACCTTATTTAAAAATAACATTAAAAAAAATAAACTGAAGAAATTTAAATTTAAAAAAAAATCGAATGGCAAATCCAAGCGAAAACTTACCGAGACTACCAAATCCCCCTCCCCCAAGCCTTTCCTAAGAGGGGCTGGAGGGGGAAACTTGTTGAGCGCTTATCCAAACCAGAAACAAAAACCAAGCAGGACTGAGAATAACGGTCCTGGTCGCTGGTAGCTGCAATGAGACACGAAGGCTCCGAGAGACTGCTGAGAATCTAAATCATGTACTTTTCTCTTCCAGACAACATAGGGGGACCAGAAGGGAAAAGGGCTCGGACTGCTTACACCCGCTATCAGACCTTGGAGCTCGAAAAGGAATTTCACTTCAATAGATACCTGACCCGCAGAAGAAGGATTGAAATAGCACATGCTCTTTGCCTCTCAGAGAGACAAATAAAGATCTGGTTCCAAAACAGGAGAATGAAATGGAAAAAGGATAATAAGCTGAAAAGTATGAGCATGGCAGCTGCAGGAGGGGCATTCCGTCCCTAAGCGTTTGATCAATTAAAAGTACTGAGCAGTATTAGCTGACCCTGCGTCGTCTCATGTCAGTACTAAGTTGACTTTCTAAAACTTCCTTGTGTTACTTCTGTGAAGAAACCCTGTTCTTGTCGCCCTTATTCATCTTTTAATCATGAGCCTGTTTATTACCATTCTCTCGCGTGTATAAGTAGATCTGCTTTTATCGTACATTTCTTTGTCTTGAATGGCTTTGTCTTGAAAAAAATAATAGATGTTTTAACTTATTTATATGAAGCGAGCTGTGTTACTTGAAGTAACTGTTAAAACAAAACAAAACTAAACAAAAAAGAACAAAAAGGGAAAAAAAAGAAGTTAAAAAAAAAAAGGAGAGAGAGAAAGGAAACCCTCCCCCGGTTTAGTACAAATGTTATGTGTTGCACTCAACCTGCTTAACTGTGCATGTGTGGTCAAGTGTTAATGTCTGTATAGCTCCAAGCTGTTAAAAATATTTTTATTCAAACTACCTATATAATTCCTGTGTAATTAATGCTGTTGTAGAGGTGAAATGATGAAATCAACTGAACTTGTCCTACGTGTAGTGAATAGTGAATCTGTGACGAAAACTGTGATTCCAAGCAGTATGTCCTTGCTGTGCCTTTGTATATGACTCTTTGCACGAACTCTTAGAAGTGGCTCTTATTAAGCGCAGCTTCTGTGATGTATGTTTTTTGTGAACAAAGTTACAAATATAGTCAAAGTCTGGCTGTTTGAGCAAACTGTGATCAGCTTTTTTTTTTTATTATTATTATTTGTTTTTAAAAAAACCTGACTGGAAATCAACAAAAAAATAAACTTTCTATTGTAAAGCTTTTGTGATCTGATTTGTGCAAAGCAAGAAGTTGTGCTTCCTGATTTGCCTCTGAAAAGGAAAAAAAAAAAAAAATTAGCCCGTGCAGAGTTTGTTATAATATTTTACCTGGCTCCTACTGCACGTTGCATATGGTGATTGCTGCAATTGTCCGCTACCAGTATTTTTAATTGAAAGTTTGACCATAAGTTCTTCCTTACTTGTTTCTCGCTAGGTGGAAAGCTGCATCGCAGGACCACAATCAACACCCTTTGTGGCTGAATCAACTGCTAACTGTTTGCTGATGGTTACAATTAAAAAAAAAAAAAAAAAAGCGGGGGGAGGGGGGGAAACACCCAAAAAACCCCACAACCCAAACCCCAAACCATGTGCTTTGTTAAAATACACTGCGAACTCCAGGGTGTGTTTGCATCGCTCTAGAATTTCTCCTGTGGTTTCACTAAGTATATTTTAGGACAGCCATGTCCAAGCCCTCTGCGTCTATTAGTAACCCTCTCTAGCCACATTCCCACTCTTTAAAGATTTTTGGTTTTCTTCGCTACAATTAGTTTGCTATAAACGCAATGTTACTTACCCCATCAGAGCTTGAATGGTTAACTCTTCTGAGCTTCTAAGAGCAACTAAAGATTTGCACATTTACTGACTGGTTACATTGATGCCTTCCCTTAAAAGTTATAAAACAGTAAACTTTATAAGCCCCAGTTCCGGCTATATGACATTTGGGTGCCAAATGAATAGGGTTTTGTCTATGAATTAGATCGTAAAATCATCCATAGCACAGACAGATAGGCTCACTGGCTATAAAAAGTCACGTGGTGCCATTAAAGTAAGTTTTATGGTTTTGGGGAGTTGACATCCAACATTATATACCACATAACATATAATCTCACTGACGCTGGACTTCATTTGACTCTTTTGCAGGCTACGTGTGCCTCCTGGCCATTCAAATTGTCAGGTTTAGGGACAGAAGTATCCAAACCACAAGTTCTCAGTACTATGTGAAAAATGGCTCCTTGCAAGTCAAAGGTAAGTTTTGTGCACAAGTTCCTTAAAGTTTATTTGTACAGTGGGGAAGCCGAGGCTCCTGCTCGCTCTCGCTGCCTCTCGCCTCTCTCTTTCTTTCTCTTTCTCTTTCTCTTTCCCTTCCTCTCCGCCTGGAGGTTTTCAGGACGGTCCCACCGAGCCCGAGAGGCAGGATCAAGCACTAATGATCCAGGTTGCGCTGCAAATACCTCCCCCCCATCCCTTCACTCGCAGCAGCTAGCTCTCTATTTTAACGATCAAATCAAAGTAAACCACAATAAGCGACTTTGGCAGAGATGGATTTTGGGGCCTAGCTTTAATCACTTTGACTACCGCAGAAGATAATTACTTCCTTTGCTCCAATAGACTCTCCAAGTTTGGAGAGGTTTTGTTTAGCAAAGAGTAGTTACTGCAGGCGATTAAAAAAAGGGGGAAACAAAATAGATTAGGCTTGATATTATCTGGGCAGTATCTTATGTAGGCATGATCGAGTTGGAGGCGTGATGATATGGTAATAATCTTTGGATTGGTGAAATATGTTGCACATCAGAGCCAGTATTAAAATGGCACAGACTGTACTGGAGTGCTTAGATACATATTTTCTGCATTGGGTTGTGCAGAAAGCTTTAGCTATGCGTATATGTACATCTGCGAGCGCGTAGTGTGTTTTGGGGATGCGCATTTATAACGTTGCTATAACTTTTTCCTGATTCTATACGTAATTGCATAAATAGAAATATATTTAAATTACATACATGTGTGCCTGCATGTACAAATCAGTTTGTACGTCTGTCTGAAGCCGTGCAGATGCATATATGTGTCTAATGTTGGTGTATTCATGTACACAAAGGGTGTGTATGTGTGTACACATATATATGTTCCTGTGACTTCCTTTTTTTTTTTTTTTTTTTTTTTTTTTTAAGCGAACCAATTGACTGTAACTTGTAGCATTAATACAAGAGACTACAGGTCATTAGAGTGCTGCAAATTATGAAATACGGGCTTGGTTTATTGAAGATTGTAAATATCCCCCTATCTCCGCTCTCTCCCTTTCTGCCTTATATTGCTGGCTGCCATTGTGGGGTAGGCCCCAGCTGCGTGTTTACTTCAACATTCTTTTTATTTAAGTGGACTGTTCTCACTAGAGTGTGATTACTCAGCAATAAACTTTATGGCCGGATTTAACTTCAGTCTTTGAATTTCCAGGACTTGAATGAAAGGGTGAAAGGAACTCTATCTTTCTCTGGGTAACATTAAGGCCTGATCCTTATCCTCAGAGCTGTTACTTTGGCGAGTGATCTAGGGGGGTATAAACAGACTACTCAGGGGCTAGGGTAGAATTTTGAGAATTGCCTATTATCTATCTATCTGTCTATCTATCTATCTATCTATCTATCTATCTATCTATCTATCTATCTATCTATCTCTCCAAACCAGCTGTAGGTATCTCCTTCTCTGCACAGGTTTGGATTAACATTGATTCAGCAGATTGCATTGTTTTCCTTTATGTGTCATAAAGTCGGGTTTGCAAAAGAATGGAGTGGTTTGATGTGAGAAATGGTCTTTGTTTTATTTCGCTAGTGCTTTGTGATTTGAATGTTGTGGTTTAGGTTGGTTTGGCTACTGTGGGCAAAAATGGGAGAAAGGCGCAGGGTTTTAGGAGGGTAAGGTTGTTGTGTCCCTCTGCAAGGTCTTCATATTGCTGACTGATTCCTATCTTAAATTTATTTGTCTTTAAAGAAATGGTAGTATCTAAGGTGGGTTAATCCCAAAGTGCTCAAATGTTTTTAAAAAACATCTAATATTTAAAGTCAACCTTTGTGGAAGATAAATAGAGTCTGATGCCTTTGTGTCTGTCGATCCTTCCTGTCAGCACTAAACAAACATATCTGCATGTATTTCGTATTTAAAAAATGAGAAAGTCTTTAAATCAGCATATCCAAATGCACATTTGAAAATAATTTCCTTAAAAAGAGCTGGAGATTTTATAGTACTCTAGTTGACACATTTTCGTCGATAGGAATATCAGAAAGTTGTATATGATAGGCGTGTATTATATTATACTATACTATACGCCATAAAATTTTATCGTTTGAGGCAAGGCATGAAAAACCCTTAAAAGTTTGGTCTTCGTTTGTATATGGGTCCTTTTCCAAGGAAAACCCTTTGTTTGTAGGTGGGAATAATACTAGACACAAACAGCTCATGATTACTCAGTATTTAACAACTCTGCGCAATTTGAATTAACTGGCCAATATACAAGCACGCACGGACACCCGTTCGACTAATATTTTAGGATCCTGGATATCATCCCGGATTGTAATTTTTCATTGCCTAGAGTGAAAAGATTTGCTAGTATGTATTTTCCACATTTTTGAATGTGGCTTCTGGACCATATCCCACGCAAAACCATGTACAGAGGTTCGAGAACTACAGAGAAGAAAAATATCCCTAAGTCCAGAAGCATATAAACCCTCCTGTACTGCAAGAAACATTAGCAACAAAAGAAAGTTAGCTAGAAATTACAACTTCACCATATTTCTGGCCCTGCCCTGTACTAAGCATCACAGTTGAAACCATTCAAACCCAGAAATGCATTAAGATTTCCTAATACGCTTTGAAATTTGAAATTCAAACGAGCCCAGACTGCCGAACTCTGTGAAAATAGTCCCAGGTCCGAATTGTTTTCCAAGGGAAAACGTCATGGGAAATTATCTTTGGGAATCAGGAGAGAGGTTTTATCTTCACAAGTTATTTTTCTGATGAGTTTGGGGGATTAATATGTGCGAGTTTTTTCTATTTTAGGAATGGCAAGTTGTGTTCTGCGATTTGAAATACAGTTTACCAAACCCTTTGAAAGAAATACTTGCGTGCAGTGTATCATGTCTAAGTGTAAAACCAATTAAAGATTAGGCAGCTCTCTTAATGTGTGGAACTGGTGGCTTTGTGAGACATAACTTTCTCTAAACCAGAAGTATAGCAATCCAACGGAAAGTCATCCGTAAATTACAGCTCTGCAGCCTTGTCTAAACCATGCAAACGCCCTAATTTCAGAACATTACAGGGAAATTATTATTCTGCCATTTCCTTACATTTAGTAAGTGTGTATCTGTGGAAGGGTGACAACAGAGGAGCTTGCAATTTGCTTCATGGGAAATTGAATGGAACTGATCATGAAGGGGGAGATCAGGAGGTTTATATTTCAAACCTTGAATACGGGAGCAATGCCTTTTCCCTCCCCGCAAACACAGATTTAACGCATTTAATGCAGACATGAGTAAATCTCCTGACCAAGTTAAGATGTCGTTGGCTTTTTCAGTCCTTTCTCTTTCTGCCCTCAAAATCTCCCCGATTTGAGGCTGGGGTTACTAGCTAGAGCGGAAAACCACAGTTCCCACACTCGTCTGGCCATCTTTGAAAATATTATCCCTTTCAAATTAAAGCATCTTCACTAATGTCTCTCTGTAAGGCGAATACTCATGGACCACCCCAGTCACATGTTCCTGTAGCTACGCGCACAAACAATTTCAAATCTGACACAGAGAGCGTGTAAAATTTGCATGGATTTTGCCTTATAACACGCAAAAGGAATCTTTTCTATATCCCCTCCCCCCAAAAAATGTCTTTTCAATAATAATATTTGCTATGAAGGTTATTGGGTAATTATTGCAATTTTGTGGAACAGTCCTTGCTTGAGGTGAAGTCTGTCTCCGGATAATAAATGGCAGCCCGTGCAGTTCACTGCCAGGTTAAGTAAATGCAGAAAAGATAAATCTGCACACCCTAGGAATCACCAGCAGAGCTCGCTTTAGACCAAGTTCACAGTCAACTCGTTTGCCTAGACAAGGCTTCGCAAACAATTAGACTTGTTTCTTTATGTTTAAA